GCGCAACCGCCACGGCCGCCCGGCCCAAGTCGTCCCCGCTGCGCCGCGCGAGGCGCCGCGCGGAGTCTCAGGGAAGACGCTTCGTCAGCGCCACTCCGCCGAGGTCCTAGGGCCCTGAGACCGCAGCGGGCGGCCCCGGCGATGAGGGCCGAGCGCCCTGGTGCCCCTGGGCCAAGCACGGGGCCTGGAAGCGTTCCCCTCCACCCCGCGCCCCGCCCGGTGCCCCGCGCGGCGTCCCCAGCACCTTGGAGGCCGGCCCTCCGGTCCTGGAGGGGCCTTCCCTGTCATCCGCCCCCCGGTTCTGAGACCCCCACCCAGGACTGGGGAGGCGCAGGAACTCTCTGCACACGCGCGCGAACGCGCGCCCGCGCACACACACACACACACACACACACACACAGGCGCGCGCGCGCAGGCCGTTGCTATGGAGAGGCCGGTTACCAGAGAGGCTGAGGGCGACAGGTCCCCTCCTCCAGGCCTCCCTTCCCTGCCTGCGCCCCCTCTCCGCCGACCTCCCCCCTCGCCCCGCTGGAGCTTCCGGGGCCCCTCCCGCCTCCTCCGCGGCCCCTGCCTGCAACCCCTCCTCTCTCTCCCCTCCCAGGGCCGGGCCAGGGGTCGCCCCAGAGGCTGGAGCAGTACGCAGGGGCCCGGGGTTCCCGGGTGGGCCCACGCCCCGAGGAGGACAGCGAGGAGGGACAGGCATCACCACCATTCGGGTCTTTGCCTGAGGAGGACCCTCAGAGAGTGACGCAAGGCGGGGCACAGGTCTCTGGGCCTGGACCACCGGGAGGCCCAGCTGGCGGCCGAGCGCTGAGCCCCCAGCGAGTTTCCTGAGGGTCTGCAGGCCCTGCCCTGGCTCGGGGCTGCAGGAGCCCGGGTGATTTACCACCTCCCGGCCTACTGGATGTATGCGGGGGTCGGGGTGCACCGCGGGGTGGATAACCGGAGAGAAGCCCAAGGCTCCCCCTTGGCCTCCACTGGACCTCATTTTCCCCTTGCGCTTCCCGAAGCCCGGGACGCCCTGGCCCGCGATGAGCTCGGGCCACCTGGGCCTGCGGGAGCTGTTGATGGAGGTGCCACCTCTTTGCCCTGCGGCTCTATGAAGCGCTGAGCTCCCGACCGCTATAAATACCAAATCAAAGCAGAACTCAGCGTAGGCCTTGGGTCATAGGAAGCTGGTCCTTATGACACTTTTAGACAGGCAAGCAGGCACTCGACTCATGTCTGTTAACGACCCCTTCCCCTGAGCCCTGGCCCCGGCGTTTCCCCGAGAGAAGAGCGACGGCGGGGCAGGTCTTGGCGGCAACGCCTGAGGGGAAGGGTGGGGAGGAGACCGGACGCGGTGCTAGCTCCGCCCGGGCGGGCCGGCTGGGACTGGGAGTGGCGAGTGCAGTTGGCCCTGGAGGGGCCCGGAGCGGGCGCCGGGGGGCCGCCGGCTGTGGGGCGGGAGGGGCGTCGGGTTAGGAGGGGCCGCCCTGCTCGGCGCGGGCCGCCGTCTCCAGCTGTCCCGAGCGCAGGAACAATGGTGAGGCAGTGGGAGAGGGGGACTGGGAGGAGGGCGCCAGGGTTTCCAGAAAAGGAGAAACTAAAGAGCCCCGCGCAGACTGTCATCTGCATGTGACAAGGTCTCTCCCCGCTCCTTTCTTTCTTCCTCTTGTTCCTGCAGCTGTGGGCCTCGGAGAACGCATTGTACACACAGATGTTGGGTTTCAGCTCTCAGGTCTCTGCTGCTCGCCCAGGGCGTAGCGCACCGGGGTGCTCCCACCTGTAGCTGAGACTGGGGGTCCAGGGCTGGGAGAGAAAGAATGTGTGTGGGGGGGAGAAGGGCCAGGGGAGCGCGATGGGGTGGCTGAGCGTCTGCGGGAGGCCAATCACAGGGCCCAGCAGGCCTAGTCGCCCCCCAGACTCCAGCAGGGTCAGGGAGCTTGGGGAGGAGCCAGCGAGTGGAGTAAAGCCCTGCGACTCCCCCCCACGCCACCCCCCGCGCTCCATTTGCCTGCTAGGCAGTGGTCCAGGCCAGGCCTTTGACCTGTGGCGGCAAGAAGGCAGATGGATTCCACGGTTTCACTGCCGCCTCAGGCCAGCTTTGGGGCTAGAGACCTGCACCGCGCCTGGGCGAAAAGGTGGCAAAGTTCTCACTCCTTCCCGTGTCGGGCAATGCGCTTTGTACGCGAATTGGAGACCTAAACACTTGAGAGTAAAGGGGGGAGGCTCAGGAAGGGCATTTACTCTCTTGTTTTACCAGCGTCATTGACCTGCCTCGATTTGGAAAGAAGGCAAAAGGCACCCCATGGCAAAAGTGGAAAAACTAACTCGAAAGAACAATTTGCCATAAATTTTCCTCTTGCGGAGTTTCAACACCCCCACCCTTCCCATAGCAGAGGTCATGGTAAGGCCATGCGGGTTGACGGTTCTTGCCGAGTCCCCTCTTCCCTGAGCGCTACCCTGAACTTGCCGGGTTTGAAGTGCACTGGAGCGGTGGAAGGGAGGACGGCTGAAAAGAAAGAACAGGCAAAGGCCCGGGCGTTGTACGAATGACTGACAAAGCCGATGTCCATTCATAGTCTCGGGCGGGAGAGGGTGTTCGGAGAGCCGCGGCCCCTTAGCCAATTGCTGTCAGCAACATGTGG